AGGTTATCAGCAACAGTCAAATTTCTATCCTGCTTTTCAAAGAGGTCTCAAATACAATGCTCTTAATGAATTACAAAGCCATCACCAAAAATTAGTAGACAAGTTTGAGATCACAAGACTGGAAAATAAATCTTACTATCGTTTATTGAAATTGAGACGAGAAATTAAGGAATGTGAAGCAGCAGTGAAAAGTAATTCCCCTTTGTCTGAGTTTTGCCTTTCAGAGCCATATATTTGTGGAGCTCAGTTCGGAGATACAATAGAAGAATTACAAAATGCGAGAAAAGCTACAGTGGATTTATTAAATACTTTTAGAAGTGTCTCAAGCATTCCACTAGGCACTGAAAAATTGGCACATTTGGGGATTATAATGGATATTATTTCTACTAAGATAGAATTCATAAGGTCCTGTGAGGAGGGCAATATAAAATCATCATTCATTGGGTTAGAACATATATTTTTTAATGGTGCTTTAAGTTGTATTTTTAATGAAAGATCCATATTTGATAGAGATTTAAAAAGGGAAGAAATGCTCAAACTATATGAAGCTGCCCTGCCCAAACTTTTTAAGATGTATGAAAATAGAGTGGAGAAACTTGAATGTGCCTCTGAAAAGCACATCCTGAGAAGATCTATAGAAAAGCCTTGCAATTATGAAAAGGTAGATGGAGGGGCAAATTATGACATTAGAAATTATCTAGTTTCATATACTGAGATTTGTATGGGAGAAATACTAGATGAAGCTCAATCTGTAAGTCTTGACAAGCTGCAACAGCACCAGTGCAGATGTGCAGAACATCTTGAAGTCCTTAAAAAGTGTTTTCAGATTACACAGGAAGAAGATGTGGATCATGTGCTAATAACAAATGAAAATGTGCTCAGTTTCATGGAAAGCAGCGGCCTAAGGGCCATTCGTTTAAAACCGGAAGCCGTTGAGGTTTATATAGAACTGGCCATGGTCCATGAAACACTATGTTTCCTTCAGAACTCAATTGCCTCAAAGGAAGATAAGCCAAGATTTCGAAGTTTATTATGGTGCGATTTATCACTTTTAAATGAACTCTTTCATTGCCAACAGAAAATGGCTTCCTTTAGTTATCGGAAAGATAACCTTTTAGAAATTATAGAGTCTGCCATCTCTGACCTTCAGGATGAGTTGAATGTTGTTTATGACTATGCAGAAAGCTTAAACTGCTCCTATGCACGTCAGCTTCTTACGAGAGAACTTGAAGAGCTTTTAGAAACAAGAAAGTACCTACAAATGTCAGTATCCTCCATTTGCATGTGTATTGACTTAGTTCCATATACTGTCGCTCTAAATTACGGGAGTAATATATCTGAACTGGAATACAATTATGAACAGTTCTATTCCCTTCTTGAAAAATTGCTCTTGGCAGAAAGGAAGGATTTAGGGAAAATGGCGCATATTATGAAAATTTTAAAAACTATTGAGCATATGAAATTTATCTGTACAAAACAAGAGAAACCACCTCTCCATCTGGTTATATGTCAGATGCTTAAAAACTGGAGAAAATTTCGTTGGTTGAAAAAACAGGGCGATATGAGAAAACATATGGATGCAAAAGAGAGTAACAGCATGAAACACAAGAGGCCTGCTGGTATAACTTCGGAAGATAATTCCTGTGACCATGAAGAGAAGAATGACTCTTCTGATAGTAAAAAGAAAAAGGTAAGACTGCTCAACTGTTTTTGAGGACTGTTATACTGAAGCATCCTTTTATTGGGTTGATTGTATATTGAGTTTGGATCACTGTTTTGCCAGATTTAGATGGTGAACAGGTCCTGCAGGTTTAATCTGCACTTCTAATTAAGGACTTACTGAAGCAGTACAAAGTGCTTGTATTCATTGGGGAACAAGGACCTTTACATCAGGCAGGCAAAGGGAGTTTTTGTGCCTTCCCCACACACACTGGCTATTTTCTGCTTGCGACTAAAGCAGGTAGGGAGAAGCAGCTTTAGTCTTTCCTCTCTGCTGTCTTCACATTTGCAAACTGCCGGATGGAGCCCACTGTTGGCTCCATTGTTAAAATCACATGTGGGAGCCAATAGTGGCTCTGCTGGGCAGTCTGCAAATGTGAAAACAGCAGGGGGAGAAAGGCTAAAGCGGCTTCTCTACAGAGCCGGGGGTGGGGCAGAAAACTCACATTGTGCATCTGATATAAAGTCCTCATATTGTTTCCCCAATGAACATGAAGACATTGTCATGTGCTGATGGAGCTTCTGGATCCACTGCACATTACTAAGTTATTTTGTTTGTTGGGGAACTAAACAATAATTTTATATTACATCTGTGATGGAGTTTTGTGCCTCCCAGATGCGCACTGGCTACTTCCTGTTTGTGACCATGGAGGGAGAAGTGGCTTTGGTGAGCTCTCTGCACTGTTCTTACTTCTTCAAACTATTCATGGAGACGTTGGTGCCATTGTGAAACTTATGTGCCACCATATAAGTAACATGATTTTTACAGTGGAGCCAATAGTAGCTCCCTGGGGTGATCTGCAGATGCAAAAACAGTGTGTGTGTGGGGGGGGGGGGAGGTTGAAGCCACTTCTCCCTTCATGCTATGCTTTGGATGCAAACAGAAAAGAGCTTGTTGGCATCTGGGAGGTAGAGAACTCCCATCCCACGTGTGATACAAAACGATCACGAGGACTTTGTGATTGTGTAGATAGACCCTAAGCAAGTAACCTGGCAAAGCTATGTTTATTATTCGTATTACTTCAAAGCTAACTTTTTATCTTTAGTTTTTCATATTTGAGGGAAGCTTTAAATAGTTAATCTGTGTCACCTTAAAGACAGACAAAATTTATTCCAACAACAGCTTTTGTGAATCATGTCGTGAGATGCTTGAGGTATCCATCCATCGCAGCTATATTTATATGTAAAATATAAAGAGTTACCTGAGTTTATGTCAATCCTGTTCTGCCCATCTATCAACAGTTGGCCTTTGTTTTCACACACTTTCAGTTGATGGATTTCTCTTTGATAAAACAATAAACTGGCCTCTTTTTTGTACCATCTTCCAACTCCTGCCTTTCTGTTACTTCTAAGTATAAATGTATCTGTTAATGGTTGTACACTTAATGCATTTGATGGAAGTGTGCTCTGATTCACAAAGGTTTATGCTGGAATAAATGTCAACCTTTAAGGTGCCAGTGAACTTAGCTTTGATTTTGCCACAGCAGTAGAACATGGCTACCCTTCTGGAGCTTTGAATGGTCTATCTTACAAAGTTTTCCACTTTTTATCACTGTGATGGTCCATTATGGTCTAGAAAGGTGTGGTCTGGGTCTGAAAGTATAATAATAATAAGCCACATAATACCTTTTTATTAGGACCAGGAAAAATGACACAAAGCATCATGCAAGCTTCCAAGCACTCCATTTATAGACATAGATAGATAAGACTAAAAGTTTAAATGATCTGCCAGTGTTAGGATGCCATAGAAGCCTCTGTTGGTACATAATTCTTCCATAAACATCTATTCCCAGTGCTGCTTCATAAGCCTGTTTTGAGGAGATTCTTAGTACTAATTTCCCTTTTTGTAATGCATCTCTTAAGTCCTTTATTCCTATAAAATCTTAGCCTCCTGCCCATGGTTATTGTAGCCTCCCACCTATCCCTACTGCGGGGTTCTCAGCCTTTTTGAGCCTTGTGAGCACCTTTGGAATTCTGACAAAACGGCTGTGACAGGAGGCAGAACTACACACAAAAAGGAAGCCTAAGTGGAGGGGAGAAGGGTATAATTTAAAAATACAGAAGGAAAGAGGAGTGAGAGAGAATAAAACCAACACTCTGGTGGCAGCTGCCACTACAACAGTGTTATTTTAATCTGTCCAGCCAGTCAGATTCCTAGTGGCCAGTCAAAGACCCTGCTGGTCAAATGTCCCACCTAGCTCCTCCCACTTTCAAAAAACACTTGGTATGCCCCAGGGAAAGTGTCAGCTGGCACCGTGCTGGGGACCTGTGCCCTACAGTATTACCTTAATGTAAAATATTCTTTCTTTCTTTTTTTGAAAATCCATACTTGGTTCCCTTTATTTAGAGCCAGTTTGTTGTAACAGTTAAGAGTGGTGGATGCTAATCTGGAGAATTGGGTTTGATTCCCCACTCTTCCACATGCAGCCAGCTTGGGTGACCTTGGGTCAGTCACAAGTTTTTCCTCTCAAAAATGGTCCTCAGAGAGCTCTCTCAGCCCCACTTATACCTCATGGGGTGTCTGTTGTGAGGAGAGGAAGGGGAAGGAGATTGTAAGCCACTCAGACTCTGAGTGAAGGGTGGGGTATAAATCCAATATCATCTTCTTATATGGAGCCGCGGCTGTAGAGCCATAGGTTGGAGACACTTTATTCAGCAGTTAGATCAGGGGAATGTAGCAGCTTCTGTGTTCGTCTACCATGCAAAATCAAATATAGATGGCCTTAATATGGAGGGTATTTGAATTGACCCTCAGTTCTAAAAGGAAGGTACACAAGAATAGGTTGAGAAACCTGTTCTGAAGCAGTAATGTCATCCATGTACACCGTGGTAATATAACCCAAATCCTACATCCTTGCTCTTGTTTTTACTTTTGGATGGCATCATCCAGCAAATAATAAATAGCATGCTTGGCGTTATAGAATATTTGAAGTCAAGTGAGTTTCCTCAAGCATCTCTATGGAAAGGTAGCATGTATCTTTTAAAAAATAAATTATCAGATAGGTGGCCAATTGACTAGTGTTCGAAATTTAGCCTTTTTCCTTGTAAGTATCTGTTGGAAATATAATGTAATGGTTTCCAGTTATTACTGTTCCTTTCCTGTAACAGGCCTTGTTTCAGTTCTTATAAGGATGGTGCTGACTGGAGTAAAAAACCAGAAGTATACCAAATGTGTTCTGTCAGATGTGAGCACATTTTGAAAACTGGTAAAGGAAATACTGTGTGTAATATAACCTTATATCAGAATTCAAATTGCAATTTTTAATCTATTAGGTTGTTGCTTCATTGATAACCACAAAAAAGAAACGAGAAAAGGAAACCTGCAGGAACATGAGGTATCAGTACTAAATCGATAAAACAGCAGTGTCTGGCATTTATTGTTTCATAACATCATACCTTTCATTCAGGGAACAGGCCATCTTGAATAGAACTCAAGTGATCTAGCAGAAGTGTATAGAGTTAAGGAATAAATGGCTCTGATTTATCATATGAGAAAAGAACAGAGGGCTGCACCAACTGGAGCAAAGGGACAAAGGAAAAACAATGAAGCAGTGGGAAGAAATTCTTTATTCCATATATCTATACTATACCCCTGCACGTTTTGCACTGAGCTTCTTCAGGGGTTCTGTAGAATATAGACACAGCACCCCCTGAAGAAACTCAGCGCAAAACACATAGGGGTATTGATATTTGGAATAAAGAATTTCTTCCCACTGCTTCATTATTTTTCTCTGTCCCTTGGCTCTAATTTATTTTAGCATTGTGACCACAAACCAGCATCGTTGATGTATGTGTTCTGGGCAAGTTTTTTCTACTTGCCACAACCCTTATACAAAGCAGCCACTGGCCATACAATAGTTACTTGAAAGGCAGACAATTTTTTTACCTTTTTTGACTTAAAGTGTGTGTGTGTGTGTGTGTAGGGGGTCATCTTCTGCTTCAGCAGTAGAGAACTCGGCTGAAAGGCATCTGACTGAGGTGCCATGGGGTTGATGTGAGAGCTGATTCTCTCATTGTGTATACAGAGAGTGTTGAAGAAATCATGTGTTGAACTCATTCCGCAGCAGAGAGGAGTGGTACTGATGCTGGTGGAGTCAGTGGCTGGCTTTGAGACTGTAGTTCCTGCCCTAGCGAACAGTAGGAAAGGACAGGAATGATGAAGGGGGGGGGAAGCAAGCTTCACTGTGGCTCAGTGAGTTTGAGCTTTACTTTCCCCTGCCTTTGCTTCTCTACTAACTCTTGCTTTTGGCTCACAGTATGAATCCATATCAACTTTTGCTTCTTCCCCTGAGTATTGGGTAGGGGTTGTCTAGTTTGGTGTAGTGATTAGAAATGTGGACTCTAATCTGGGAGAACCGGGTTTGATTCCTCGCTCCTCCACAGGAAGCTTCTGGTGTCACATAGGGTCAGTCATAAGTTATTTCAGAGCTGTTCTCTCAAGGGCAGTTCTCGGGAGAGCTCTCTCAGCCCCACCTACCTCACAGGGTGTCTGTTGTAGGGAGGGGAAGGAAAAGGGATTGTAAACCGCTCTGAGACTCCTTCGGGTAGCGAATGGTGGGGTATAAATCCAGTCTCCTCCCTTTCCTCTTCTTCCTCCCCCCCCCCCAAGCATTTGCCTAGTCATCTGGTGTTTTGTTCCAGCTTTTAAAAAGCCAGTCTTCTTATTTTTTTTATTGGGGATGGAGTGTCTTAATTTCAAGGCCATCCACTTTTGCATATAACCTTCTGTGCTGGTCATCTTACAGTAAGGGTAGTCTTCCTTTCAGTTATCCTTTCTTTTCACCCGTTTGTCATAACTGGGTCTTGGCTGATATTTATGAGAGCTTGGAAACTAGCTGCAGAATTACAATTGATGTTCTGGATAAAGATGTGAAAGCTCAAGAAGAAGAAAAGGAGGGGGGAGTGCCCTATTGTATTTTTCCCTAAATACTTTTTTCTAATTTTTCAATTGGAATGTTTGAGAAATCTTAGGAAATTAAAAACAACAACTCCCTTTCAAATAGATTTTTTTTCTTTTTGGTTGAATGAAATGAGCTAAGATAGCATAGGGTGCAACAGTTGGCTGCTCTCACTGGCTTTAGTATTGGGGATGTAGCTGCAGTTTTGATTGTAGAAAGCTAAGTGTCCATAAACTTAGAAAAATGTAACACTGCTTAGAGTTGCATGTAATACATTTCAATTTTTCAATCCTATAAATATGCCAATTAATATAATTGTACCTACTTAACTGGTGCAGCAAATTAGATTTAGATTTGATAAGTAAATATTTCATTTTTTCCTCAAGTCTCTCCCCCCCCCCCAATTTTTTATCATTGCTTCAGAATTTCTGGAAATATTACATTTCTAGTTTTGGTGCTCAGTTGCATCTGCTGAGGGAGAAGAATTTTGTTAATTGTAATAAGGACTTGCGGGTGTTTATTGCCAGAAGCATTTGTTTTTATTTATCCTGAGTGAAACTCCTAGCATAACAAAAGGGTTGGTTAAATAGACATGTTCCATCACTGACCATGGTTAGCTGTTTGCATGAATGAGAGACTTCAGATCAGATAGACCTGCTACAACTTTCAAATTCAGTGTTTTCAATGGAATGGACTCAAATTGCACATTCAGGCACAAGTCATCAGGACGTGAGAAATTAAGTACTGAACTTGCATGTGCATGATGGGACGAAAATACAAATATAGAAATCTTTTGCAGACTAAAAACTAACATTAAATACTCGATATCCACTTTTATTTGAGATGTGTTTTATGTCCTTTTTATTTTGAGAAACACAATATTGGTTGTGCTTTGAAACTTCACAGAGGTTGAACTTAAATTTCTGCCTAAATCTTATTGTTGTTGTTTTGGTATTTCTTAGAGGTTTGACTTACAGCATGCTTAGATTTAGTTGTTTGGTTTAAGAAAGTCCAGTATGGTTTTTACCATCTTTTTTGACCTTGCATAATTTGGTTTTAATACTTATTTATCACATGTATTTTAGTTTTGAAATTTTATATGGGCCTTCTCATATGAATTTACCAACTTTAATACACCAGTGCCTTCAAATATACCAGGGAAAATATTGGACTGCATAAAGTAATTTCTTCACAAAACTGGGTTCTTTAGTAAAATCATTTTCTCAAGTCATCTTAGTGAAGGTTTCTAGGTTTAGCTATTAGCCTTAAATGTTTGTTTTTGAGTGAGCAGATACACCGAATTTTCACAAAGCTTTCAAATTCTTGTTTCTGTTCTCCCATTACATATGATTTGTGTACTCTTGTTTGGCAGAAACAGTGTTGCCTTTGAGAGATCTACTGAACAGACGCCAGGTAGTATCAGATCTTTACCAAATACGAATGCAGCTTTCTGTTGCTTTTGGCAAGATCTCCAGTCTGCTTTCTTTGCTTCACTAGCTCTTCCTTCCATGCTTTCCTTGAGGTAGCTAACTAATCCCCATCAATTGAATTCCATTCATTTTAATTCTTGCTCAACAGCTCTATGCAAAAGTTTTCTATTAATGGAAGCTGTAAGGGTTGGCTGGTATAAAGGTAGTAGACATCATATTTCAATGGTTATACTATTGATACACCACTCCCACTACTCCCATTTGAAGGGTTATGGATTGTACTATTTGAGCCTACACATATAACTCCCTATTTGTTTGTAATGACCAGTGTCCAGGGGTCATCGACCTGGAGAAACATTGCATAGGATCAATATGTGTATTGAGTAAAACTACCTCTCTTTTGACCATGGCATGCACATTGGAGACTATTAGAGACTTAGGGATACTTTTACCATTAAATAGATACTAAACTATGTGACAAGGCAAGAAAGAACTAGATCCTGCAGAGCTTTTTGCTAATGACAGTACCTTCCCCCAATTCAAGGAGTCATCTCCTGACACAAGAGGCTGTTCTACCTGTGGAAGATTCTCTTGCATCAGATGTAAGGGTTCTCACACTGAGTCAAGGTGATGTTTGCAGAATAGATCCAACCCAAACTAAGGATCATGGAGTTAATTTTAGATACATGCAACCCATATAGCTGTATATTTTCCAGAAAATAATAGTTAACATATTTCCCAGACATTCATAGAGAAACAGAAATGTAATCACTGTCAACTATAATTGGGGAAAGTATCCTTTTCCTCTTGACAATACAAATAATGCCAAATTGGGGCATCAAATAAAAGATCGCAGGGCTCTTTTTGTAGCAGGGACTCATTTGCATATTAAGTGACGCATCCCTAATGTAGCCAATCCTCCAAGAGCTTACTGTAGCTCCTTTAAGAAGAGCTCTGTAAGCTCTTGGAGGATTGGCTACAGTAGGGGATGTGGCCTAATATCCAAAGGAGTTCCTGCTACAAAAAGAGCCCTGATTAAATGGAGTACAAGTAGTTTGATAAACACATCATGTGACCTACCTAATTGTTAAAGTAGCTAGAAATGTTTCAAGGGTCAGATAAAATAAGACTTTGGTGGGCACCACCAACATCAGTCCATGAATTGTTACCAAAGTGTACCAGTCAGTGTCACACAGAGAAGGGATGCCATAACTGTATTCAAATAGTGCCACCTTCTATCAGTTCAAGGATCCAGAGTCAGAAACCCATCTGTTCCCCTCCAGGTGCTCCACAGAGCCCCTTGAAGTCCTGACCTACCAACTTCCCCAACAGCTTTCATTTGACAGTGAGACTGTATGATCTTCCAAGAAGTCACAGAGCACCACAGCAATGCACGGCTGTGAGCACAATGTGTTCCTTTAAGGAAGTGTTCTTTAGTCACAGATGTTGGCAGTGGCTGAGCACCTAGTTTACATGCAGAAATTCTCAGGTTGATCTTTGGTTAAAGGGTCTCAGATAGCTTATCTGGAAAAAGATCTTTCTGTCTAAGACTCTGGATAGTCTATTTACTTCATTGTTTATTCATTTATACCTGGCCTTTCTCTCCAATGCAGACCCAAAGCGGTTTACCTCATCTTCCCTCTCCTCCATTTTATCCTCACAAGAACTCTGTGAGGTAGGTTAGGCTGAGAGTATGTGACTGGCTCAAGGTCACACAGCAGGCTCCCATGGCAGAGTGGAGGTTCGAACCTCAGCCTCCCAGATCCTAGTTGGACACTCTTACTACTACCACCACACTGACACTCTCACTACCTAGCTTCTGCTAGTCACACAGGAGCCAGGTAGATGGATCCAAAGCCTGATTCAGTATAAAACAAATTTATACATTAATTATCTCAGGGAAAACTGAACCTGGCAGGGTATTCAAGGCCTTCTTCAGTATGCAAGACTTAAGTTTGTCTCCAAAGTTCAGCCTTGGGAGCTGTCCAGGGTTCTGCAACTGGGGTCCTGCCAAACCTGCTTCTTGGTTGATGGCCTCACTTTGCCTTGCCTCATAGGTGCCCAGCCAAAAGTGGATACATAATGAATGATCTGCCATGTTTTATGTATGTCAGTGGGGTCTGTTTATCTACATAGAATACCAAAAACATTTAGAACTGTTGTGGCCAGAGAAGTCTGGTGTTCACTAGGAGACATATTTTAGTTTGACCCATATGTTCACATCATCCTGATGTTATGGTTCAACCTGGATTTTAAAAATTGTGGTCCATTCATTTATATAGAAAGTCTGAAAAAGACAATTTCAACTTAAATAAGGTTACTGACCTGAGTGCATTATAAAACACCTTTTAAACTTTCTAACAAATCTGACTTGCAACAGGGCCACTAGAACATTCCTTTACCTCTGGATTTGGCCAAGCTGCCTAGAACCCCTATGAAGTGTCACCAAATTAAAAGACTATGTTCATTTGCCTCGGTTTTCCAGGTCTACCACCTTCATATATCATTGGCTGCCCTGTTGGAAATTGAACAAGTAATTTTGAATGGCCAGTTCAAAAAGAACAGTGATATACAGCTCTAACCTCCAGCAAAATCTCTGTGATACACCTAATGTTAGCATTGATACGGACAAAAACTTATCTTCCGAACATAGTGGATTCTACAGTAGATACTTAATTGTAATTCAGAATCCTTGATGCACATGATGTGGGTCTGCCCAGTAGACAGTAGTGATGCCATTTTAGGCAGAAATTTGCATTTGGTATAAGCCTAGTTTTAGAAATCACTCTGCAGTTCCCCCAACCATGACAATAACATTGTCCTGATCAATGGAAATGAATTCCATGTATCACACTTGCGACAAAACTACTGATGCTACAACACTGGAATGATGTATCCCCCTTCCATACACCAGTGGACCTCTCTTTCCACATATGAACTCAGCTTCTACCAAAGACAACAGCTGTTGAATATATATCCCAGCATCTGGATAAGTATGCATAGAGGAGCTGATGACTTATATAACATGGATCTTGTTTCTTTGCCCCCATGGTACTTCCAAGACCACCTCCCCTTCTACTCCCCAGAAGCCCCGTAATATATGTATACCTTCCCATGTTACAATGTTACATATATAGTATTTTCTCAAATGTAAGACTAGGTTTTTTCACAGTTATTCCATTAAAAGGAAGAGGCCATCCTACATTTGTATACAAGTTACACTTGTGTCCAATAATAATTTTTTTGTGTATAATATTTTTAAGTGGGGGTTGTTTCTTACAATCAAGCAACTACTGTGACAATCTGGAAAATACTGCTATAAAGGGTGTTAAAATTCCCTAGAAACTAAAGATATCTCTGTTTTGCAGAAAGTGTGGAAGACCTAAGCCTCTAGAAAGAGAAGAACTACAGTTAAGGATTTCCACAGACAGTACCTGGAATAAAAAAGATGAGTGTCTGAGAGACAGGCCATCTCTCTCCCCTTCGTATTCAAAAGGTTTGAAAGCTGCTGATCCCTTGGACTGTATTGAGTTTTCGCCAAGTGTTTCCAGTCCTGCATTAGTTAACTCAAATACATTGGACAGTCGGAAAAATCCAACTGATCTAAAAAACCTCAACAAGAGCTGGAGGGGTAGCCAGGAATGCTTTGCATCCTGTGATGAGAGAGGCAGAGTTCTATCTACATGTCCAAACAAAGATCCATCCCCACAGAATTCCCCTGAGGACTCTCTTACTTCAGTAGCAAAATTAAGTGGTGATAGCTCTGTGCTGCCCCCACTAGATCAGTACCATGATCTGAAACAAGATGTTACAGGGAATGCTTCAGGTTGGATCCCTAGTTGCACAGCCATACCTCTGGAACTTGATAGCAGTGGCGAGATGTATGAAGAAAAATCTGTGGCCAACTATGTACCAGCCTGTAATTCAGATTCCTCAGCAATCCCTGAATTAAATAAATTCATGGAACTGAAGTCCTCGTGTTCAGATCCATTTTCCACTGAAAGTACCCAAACCTCTGCGCAATGTTCTGCTTTCGGTCAAAATGAACATATAGAGGAAACACCTCCCAGTCATACTTATTCTGTGCACACTTACAGGACAGTCTATCCCTCCTACTCTTGGCACTTCTATCAAACTGGTAGCAGTTGTCACCAAGTTACTCAAACGTACCAGGAGTCCAGTTCTTATGAAATGCACCAGCTGACTCCAACCATGCTTACAGCTACCAGCATGGTATATAACACACAGTCCAGTATGTTTTATTCACAGTCTTACAGTCATTTTGGGGTTGGGGAATCACAGAGGTTTAACTTTGCCCAGACCTACCCAGTGCATAGCTACTTCAGCTCTACAGTGCCCTTTCCATACGGCTGTCAGCAGTGGCCATCATGGTACACAGAAAGCCATCCTATAGCACAAGCTGCTTATCCCTATTCTTCCAATATTGGCTTGTGAATCTGTGTCGTTCTACACTAAGACCTTATCAGTAACATCACAGCTTGTAGAACCAAGTGTCTTAGTGCTTACCTCAGACACAGGAATACTACTAAATAAAATAGTAACCCCGTGAGAATTTAGTTACAAGACATGGATCTGATTCTATGCCTAGTTTAGATGCTAGAAATTTCTCCTTGGGAGAGATACCAGCAGCCTGATGAAAGTAATACATAAACCAGCATATTAGCACTTCCAGGCACATGAGCATACAGCAACACTTTTTTGGCTGCATGTATCACTGCTGAGAAGTGGGCACTTGTAACTCTGGACACACTGGGTCTCATTTTGCTTGGTGTACTTCAAGGGCACTGAACTAGCCATTAGGTAAATTGAAAACTCAAAAGCTACGCCCGCTGTTATTTTGTGCTATTCTTAGGTTTTGTCTTTTTATTTTACGAACTGAGGGCTGAGTGACAACACTAGTAATGCTGATGACAAGGAGGAAAGGAACATTTGCAAGGGAGAACCAGGGGAAGGTGGATTGTTCACTGGAAATGCTCCCCCCCCCCAATCTGATCAGACATAACCTTGAAGAGGTTATCCGTGGGCATCACCAGCACAACAGTAACCACAATACACACATGCCATTCTTGTTTGGGAATGCCCAGCTTTTCAGTTGTTACCTTGACAAACGCAGGTTTGGGAAACATGTCTGCCGGGGTAACATAGTTCTGTAACTGTTCTGAAACAATTCTTGTGCGCGATCATCTGATTAGGACTGGAAACTGTCCTTTCTGTCTATTCTACAAGGGAGATCTCAGCACATTCAGTGAGTTGGGAACAAACTAAATTCACTGGTGATTAGAAGTGGGCTGCAGCTGCTGGACCACAAGCAGAAGCTTGTGCTATTGCAGTGAAAGCAGCACTCCAGCTAAGGACTGGACAGAGACCGCAAAAACGACCATTACACTAATTGTGCTAAAAATACTGAAGACTGTATTTTCCATATTTTTAGTTGCTTGGCAACTGTCACCTCTAATTTCCACGATGGCCTTTTTGTATTTAGTTGTAATGTTTCTTTATTAAATGTATTGCCTCTTCAGTTGAAATATTTACATAGACTTACTTGAATGACAGCTACATAATATTTTCAGCTGTACTTAAACAGGCAAATAAGCCAAATGAGAATTTAAGTTTAAGATGCACACCCTTACCCCATTTGATATCAGTGGGGTTTAAGTGTGCGTGAACTTGATTCTGACATTATTACTCAGCCCCTTTCGTCAGACCTCCTACCAAACCTCTGGATGTGTTTTGAGGTTGACACCTTAGCTGATTGATCCACAAAGCAGTAACTCTTGGCTGATTTGATATGAGAAGTAATACAGAAGTCCAAAAGAGAGGGCACCAGTAAACAGGACCAGAAAAAGCCAGTTTGGGGTCCTACTAAAACTAGGGGGATTCGGTTTGCTTAAATGCCAAAAAACATTTTTTCTGTACACTAATTGTGCTTTTCATGTTTTTTATTCAGAATTCTTGCTGCTTGTATACTTTAAACATGTGGATGTTTTAAGTCCCAGCTTTTTTTAAAAAAAGTGATGTCTGTGTTAATATTTTCAAATTATGATCATTTAAAAGACTGGATTCAGAAAGTGGTATCATGTAAACTTATTTTTGTAGTTTATATGCTGTTTTATATTAATATTTTTACAATTTTTTATTTTTTATTAGCATTTATATTTGCGTAATGTTAAAACACTTTGATTTTGTGCATTATGGCTTTAAATAAACATTTTTGTTAATACACTTGATTACTGTGTTCATTCTTAAAACACATCATACTTTTATGTTCTAAAGTATTGTTACTTTTGAAACAATCTTAATGTTTGTCTGTAGGACAAGTTTAGTGTAGTGGTTAAGTGCGTGGACTCTAATCTGGGAGAACCGGGTTTGATTCCCCACTCCTCCACTTGCACCTGGCTGGATGACCTTGGGCAAGCCGTAGTTCTGGCACAGCTGTTCTTGAAAAAGAGCAGTTTCTGTCAGAACTCTCTCAGCCCCACCTACCTCACAGGGTGTCTGTTGTGGGGAGGGGGAGGAAAAGGAGTTTGTAAGCCGCTCTGAGACACCTTTGGGTAGTGAAGGGTGGAGTATAAATCCAATCTCTTCTTAACATAAGAACATAAGATCCATAATGTTGGATCAGGCCAAAGGCACATCCAGTCCAACACTCTGTGTCACACAGTGGCCAGAAATACCAGTGCCATCAGGAGGTCCACCAGTGGGGCCAGGACATTAGAAGCCCTCCCACTGTTGATCCCCCCCAAGCACCAAGAAGACAGAGCATCACTTCTATCTTCTTCTAGGAAGGATAGAAAACTTAATCCAGACTGTTCAGATTTATAAATCAATGCCATGAATTCATTAAGTGAGTTCAGAAATGTAGACATTAATGTCATTAGTGTGTTTAAACACACCTTGTCTTGAGTTTGAGGTGCTCTATTATTCTGTATAGACACAAAGTTTTACATGAAAAATGCCAAAGCTTTATTAAATTTTGTTTTGTCATATTAATATTAATGATGTGTCTAGAAATTCACAACTGCATGGAATTTGGTACCATATCTCTCCCTTATATTTAAAGCCATAGTGGGGCCCAACATTCCAATGCACACCAACAGTGTTTGGAAGATTGAACTGTCAGTCAGAAGACGCTGGCTGGGTTGACTGGCTGCTTTGTGTAGTCCCGCCCACGTCAGCCCCTCATCGGCTCAGTCTGCTCTGGGCCTCTGACAGGTGAGGACCACCTGCAGACTGAGTGCAGGGACAGGGCTTCTACGGCTGGGCCGCTTCAGCCCACTCTTCTCTGATTGGGCCAGCGTTTCAAGGTCATTTGCATATGGAAGCTGATTGGACTTCACTCCATTCCACACCTCAAACACCCCCCCCCCACAAGACAGTTGGAATTGTCAGTTGAATATGGGACCTGGTGTATTTTGAGGTAAAATATGTCCTCACTCACAACACATAACTTCCCCTTCAAAAGAAACAAACCCAATAACACAATCATGCCACACCACAAAAAAGACCGATCACACCACAAGCAGAATACCACAAGGCAAAAAATGATAGGAAAAGGTGCCAGCAGTCGCCCCATTACTGCCACAGAGAGCGCTTCAGAGGACGGTGTGCAGGTCCCAGGTTCATGTTTTAAAAGCTGCCTGGGGGATTATGGACCATTCACACACTTTCAACCTTAACATACCTCATAGGGTAGTTGTGTGGATCATATGGGGGAGAGGAGAATGATGTCAGCAAATGCCATACAGTCCACACTCCAAAGCCATTTTCCCCAAGAGAACTGCTCTTTGTGTTCTGGAAATCAGTTGTAGACTAATCCTGGAAGATCAACAGGCCACACCTGGAGGCTGGCAACCCTAGAAATGGTTAAAACTACCAGAGTCTTCTGTGTGTGGTCTACAAAGCAGAACTGAAGGGGGAATAGGTAAGCTCACCCTCTACCCACCACGCCTCAGGGGCTATTACACCTTGTTCCTGTGCAGCTTGATATACAAGAAATAGTACATGAAGCCTGTCACTTTGAATATTTGAACGTCATGCTGTTAAAAGCACAGAAGCAGAGACGGGAAAAGCAACTCCAGTTCATACTGAGAAAGGGAGTGAGAGGAATTTCCCAGCTGATAAGATTTATAGACATGCTGTGTTGTTTTTTTCTGTTAGGGGCACCTTTAAAAGCTGTCCAACAGAATGAAATTTAAGCAGGTAGAACTTTCCTCTTCATTTCATCTCTATGCCAGAAAAGTGTCACCTGTTAAAGTTTTCCTCACTGGGTACTTCTGAAGGGTTAGGAGCCCTGCCAGAAAATGTTGGCAGCCTACAAGGCCTGTGCTGCTGACATAGCCTAGGGTTGCCAACCTCCAGGTGGTGGCTGGAGATCTCCTGCTATTACAGCTGAACTTCAGGTGAGAGATTGGTTCCCCTGGAGAAAATGGCTGCTCTGGAAGTTGGAGTCAATGGCTCTGTCCTCTTCAGGCTCCACCCACCAAATCTCTGGGTATTTCCCTCCTTAGAGCTGGCAATCCTACTTTCCCCTCAGTGCCTGTTGGTAGGCAACTAAGCTGGGTCCTTTCACCTATTTTGGCCTTTGGGAGAAAACACATTGGGGCCAGTCCTGATAGGGTTGCCAACTCCAGATGGGAAATTCCTGGAGATTTGAGGGATGGAGCCTGAAGAGGGTGAGGTTTGAGGAGGGGTGGGACCTCAGACAGGTACACTGCCATAGACTCCACCCTCCAAACCAGTCAGTCCCACATAGGGAACCATTGTTGCCAATCTCCAGGTGAGGGCTGGAGAGCACTCAGAATTACAACTGCTCTGCAGAAGGGAGGGCAGAAGTCAGCTGAAGTCAAAGGGGCAGATAATGGTAGGTTGATGGTTAGCTGGGAAGGAGATGGGGTTGCCAACTCCAGGCTGGCAAATTCCTGGGGATTTGAGGGGTGGAGCCTGGAGAGGGTGGGGTTTGTGGAGGGGTGGGACCTCAGACAGGTAGAATGCCATAGACTCCACCCTACAAACCAGCCATTTCGTCCTGGGTAACAATTGTTGCCAATCTCCAGGTGAGGGCTAGAGATCACTCAAAATTACAACTGCTCTTCAGGTAGCAGAGATCAGTTCCTCTGGAGAAAACAGTGGACTCTGTCATTATATCCTGCTGAGGTCACCACAGCAAATTGACACTGTTTGCCCAAAGCCAGAGCACTCCCCCAGAGCCTCTTTCTAGATCTCGTCGTA